AAAAGATGGGAATAAATACAGGAAAGTCCGATGAGCATTCAAATGAGTTGGTTTTTGAAGAGAACGAGAAGCAGACTGACGGAGAGAGGAGAAAACAAACGTACAAACTGCCTCTCGCTGACATACACCGCAAACCTTTCCCTCCAGGCTTTAACAACCAAGTCCCATCAATCAAGACCAATTCTCACAGGCTGCCCGGGCAAGTGCCATCACTATGGAAACCAAGCTTTTACTCTGAACCCATCTTGCTTTGTCTTGTCTGGAGGTTTTGACGTGTAATCACTGGCAACAAAGACAAGCAGAGAGCTGCAAGAAAACTTGGACCTGGGCGAGAAACGAAGAAGAAAACACTATTTTTAGGTGTTAAAAAAAGAAAAAATAAACAGAGGGCAGAAGGTGGGATATTGAAATCTGGTGGCATCAGCAGGAGCAGACGTTGAACTGGTGAAAATATTGTGATTGAACAGCAGGAGGAGCATTTCCTCAGGCTAGGTGTCGAGTGTGATGTTTGATGCAAACGATAATCCACAGTTCACTGTATTCAAACTGTCAAACATCAGGTCAGGTGTTGGTATTAGAAATAAAATTAAAACTAGAGCTTAACATGGCATTAAATGAAAATTACTGATGAGTTTCTACAACAACGTTGTTTTCTAATGAATGGGAGTGGGATCTTGCAAAAAAAGTCTCTATAATTCAGATACAGATTTTTACAGCCTAATTTCATAAGGTCTAATTGATTGTCTATGAAAATAAGAAATAGTAAAATATATATTTGCAACTGTTTGTTGTTTTGTGACAAAAGCACAGAAATACCTATATATGTATTTTTCACAACATAAATATATATTTTGTAAATATTGATTTACCAAGTAAAAAAGGGTGAATTGTTTAAATTCAAAATTATTGATAAAACTGATCAAATAAACTGTAAACAGAGAATCGTATAAATATATGTATACATATATACATACATTTACATATATACACCTTCATATACATACATAGTTATATGTATGTATGTGTGTATAGGAGAGAGTTGTTGTTGCGATCCTGGGTGTCTGGTTTGATCTTTCCTGTCTAAACACACCAGTGTTCAGATGTGTGTTGTTACCAGACTCCAACATAATCACTGCTCTATGAAGCTGACTAAGAGCGATGTTTTCATCTAATTACCCATTCTTACCTACCTGGACTCTAGACCCTTCATTACAGCATGGCGTTTATTTAAACATCAGGCTGTGCTGCAAAAAGTGTTGAGAGTCACAGGGTTTTTACCTGTGTGAGTCAAGTATGAAATCATTTGTAGACGAAGGTGAAAGATCTTCCCTCAAAGTGTGAAAAACCTGTTTTTTTTTCCAAAAGATCTTCCCTCAAAGTGTGAAAAACGTTTTTTTTCCTGCGATAATCATTTTTTGGGGGAATGAATAACAAAGGGCGTGTATTTTCAGTACACAGACAATACTTGACAAGAGGGTGGAAAACAGTGCAGCACAAGTGTGTGATTTCCAACTGGAACAATTTGTGTCATTTACAGACTCACCTATGGCGACTGACATTTGAGGCGTCATTAAAAGGAGAAAACGTCACAAAAAACAGAATTATAAAGTCTTGTTTTAGATGGAGGATAAACAGGACAGATGGAACAAGGATACGTACAAATCTGCTGATCACATTTTTCGCAATTCCATCACAGCTTCTAAACGTGATTGTCTGGTTGTACACGGCCAGAAAGAGTTTCTTGTTCATTTGTGTTCCTGTAACTCTTGCAAGGACATATGTCCTTGTTTTTCTTTTTTTTTCATATAGTCCTAAGTTTTCTGCTTACTTGCATGTTTAATTTTAGAGGCAGTGTCAAACAGGCGGTGAAGATACGCCATATTTTTTTGCCTCTGACTTTAAAACATTGGCATTTTAAACGATGATAGACTATGAGGTCAATAATACTCAATTATAAATGTGTTTACAGTCTGTCACCGGGGGCAAAAAAGGACAAGAAAAATGTTCTGATGTGCATTTTTTAATTCTTTAATCCTAACGATTCATCAATGAGTTAAGGTAAAGGCTAAAATTAAACAGTGATTGTTGCTCTCTAAAGACAAATAGAATTCCAAGAATGTTGATACAGTACGTCATGCAGCAGCACGGTGTGACTAAAAGTCATTTTGACAGATCTAAGCAGCCGTCATTGGCTTGGACATAATTTAAACAGATGATGAGTCGGCGAGGGAGAAAGACAGACAAGGAGCGATGGAGTGAAACAAGACGGGAGGCTGAAATGAAGAGAACAAAACTGAGAAAAACCCAGAATGTTTTTCCTAATAGTCATAAAAAGGAGGCCTCTCCATCGTCGAGCCATCGCTGTGCATCATTAACTGTATGAAAGACTTTGAAAAAAAAAACCCTTTAACTGCTGAGAATTTTAATAAATATATAAACATGGTTTTATCTTCATGAAAAAACTAAAGCCAAGAAACTACAGTTTGATCGAAATGCAGAAAAATAAAGGTACCCTTTTACCGAAGACACAAATATGATGGACATTTCACAGACGCTAAGAAGCTGCAACAAGTCAACAAGAAAACAAGACTCATCACTGTTATCACTGATGAATCAGTGACGCGTTCTCTGAAAACCTCAGACCAACTCTCTGTGGCAGTGAAAAGAATGTGTGTTTTTTTCCATGACTAACAGATAAAATTAATTAATTCAAAATAAAAGGCATGAAGTGACTGAAGTAATGACACTCATGATTTAATTACTCATTTAGGAAAGTAGATTTAAACCCAGTGGTTTCATTTTCCACTGAACGTCACTGAATGTTGACAGTTATAAGACATTTGATCTTGCTAAAACTCTTTAATAACATAAATGTATTCAACAACTAAGTATTTTGTTGTTCATTTCTTTTCAGGTCTAATGATACATAATTACTTCAGTAGCTTTTTTCTGACACATTCTATTCACTGCTACTTAGTGAAAGTGCTGCAGCCATCTGTACCCAAGTGGAACTCTAGTCTACAGTTTAATTATTAACTGATAGTAGATTTAATTCATTACATCATTATTCATGATTCATTAAGAAATCAACCCTTTAATAATGCATTGATTAATTAGCTAACAAAGGCCCTTTGCTTGCTTTGCAAGGCGTTTCTGACCTGACATGTCATGTGGTTTAAAAGTACACCACCAGAGGGCATATGTCAAGAGAAATATAAATGGTGAACACTACCGGAAGAAGACAAAGTTGAGCAGGAAAACACTGGTCTTCCTAGTCTGACTTGGTCAATACTGTTTTCTAAGGCTATCATAGAGTCTGACTTGGTCAATACTGTTTTCTAAACCTATCATAGACATATCAGTTGATCCTTTGTCAACTAAAACAGCTAGCCAGACGTTGTTTATTAGTACATTTTAACTTTAGTAAAAATGCATCCTTGGCGTTACAACACTACCCCCTCCATGCACACAAGCCAATCTGTGTGATTCCCTCCGCACCTCAACGCAAGACTCCAGATAAAACACAAATAGGAAGCAGGACATTAATAATATTGAGGCGCTACGATTTATTGCGCCATCTTTCTTTCTCTTTTGATTAAAACTGTATCCTCCTCACCTGATTTATGACGGTGTACGGAGAAGGATGAAGGGCAGAGGGAGTAAGAAGAAGGAGAGGAGTAACCAATGACATCATGCTTTTGGCTACGTTTTGTTTTCCACAGAGTAGAGTACTACCTCCCTGTCTTTGCCTCAAATAGCCTCATAGACTATTTACTCAAATAGTCATAAATATGTGACACACTGGTGGTGGTTTCACGTGTTTTTTAGTGAATATGAAGAGTTCTTCAGTTCGGTTTGAAATCATTTGTCTAAATTATATTTGTCTGATTTCATTTCACCTCTGCAAATCTAATCTTGTTGTGCAGTTTGCACACAGCAGAACACAGCTGATATACAGTACCTCAGCTCCTTATTTGCATGTACATATGTAGTACACATACAGTGCACTGGCTTTTTCATGTTGAACCCTTTGGTTCAATGTGGAGTTTTTGAAGTAAAAAAGAAATAATATTTTGTAGCTTCTGCTTTATCAAAGATGTGAGAGGCTAAGTGTGGAGCGACGAAAAATAAACGATCACAGTAACACAACTTCAGAGGCAGTAAATTAGGTGTTTGAAGGAGAGTGTACACGGAGAGATTGTCAAGAAAACAATCTAGCGTGAGATTAGAACCCACACACACGCGGTCACGCCAACATACACAAACTAGCATAAATATTTACATTAACATTTGCATATGGCATTGAACGACATAGAAGGCTAAAATAAAAAATAACATAACACAGGTCTGCAGCCTATGGCTCCTCAAGGGGCTGTTACCTCACTTTGCATTGGCTCACTGCAAGATCACATTGTTGATATTGATGTTTGTGAATTGACTAAAAGAAAAAAACAATAGCTGATGCTTCACACAGATCAGACGAGGCTGTAAAATCAAGTTTAAAAACATTTTAAACGTAGCACATGTGAACTTGCTTGCTAGCAGCAAAATGAGAACATGAATTTTATTTGGTGGTAAAAATATAAAATGGCTGTTTCAATGTTTGAGGGTGCAGGACCTAGCACAATAGATATTATAGTTAGCTTGCCTGCTAACAGCAAACAACCAGTGTAGAATTTTTATCTTTATCTATGGATGAAAAAACAAATTCCATCAGCGGCTTAGCTGAAGAATCTGGGACCAAAGAAATGTTGAAAGCTTTTAAATTGAACTTTGATGCTAATGCTGGATTGCACCACTAATTGCATTAATGTCATCCTAAGTGGTATTAGGGAGAACCTGCTACAGATGTTAAACACATAAAGTAATAAAGTGCCGTAGCATAAAACTGAGCTCTTGACGTTATCAGTGTACCATAAAATACAATCTCCCAAATATATTCAAGATGACATGGACGATAACCTCTGAACACGATAACACAGTACTGTCTGGGTACTCACCTAAGGCGTGGGCATTGGTGAGCAGCAAGGATAGCAGCAACGTGAAGAGAGGCAGCAGGAGCGGCAGGGAGAAGCGACAGACACCGATGGTGGCCATCTTGGCTCCTGTTGGGGAAGGGGGGGCAGGGAGGGGTGGGGTGGGCCTGACAGTGGACCTGGCTGGAAAGTTGAGGCCCCAGCTGCTCAGCGAAGCTTGGTGTCTTCACACAGGAGGACTTGGACACTCTGTAGAGAGAGAGAGAGAGAGAAATGAGGGGAAACTTAGGGATGATTTCCTTACGCTGATTTAATCCACAACACAGCGGTCTGATTGTTACAGTGCACAGAGAAAATGAAATGATGCAACAACATATAAATTATCATCTGACAAGATGCTTTTAGCCGGAGCTACTTAGAGAGAAAAGGTAGTGGTTCTACCCACATGGGCAGGATGTGTTCTCTTTGATAAATGCACAGACCAGACCACTCAGCTCTTTACAACCCTTCATTACTACTGACACAAAAATGGGATGGATGGAAGGTAATGGGGTGTCCTTTACTCTACTTGAAGCAGAGTGTCACATCCCCAAACCACATGACAACACCGTAGCTCATACTGCTTTTACTTACACAACCTAATTAGCCAGGAGGGGTCACTGTTTGTGTTTTTCATTGCTTGTTAATCTCATTTACTTATAATTACACAGGCAATAACTGATACTCCCAGCGCCATCTTTCCAGTTCAGCTTAATCTTGTCTTTAATCCTGTAAGCTGCAGGAAGGATAAAGGCTAGAAAAATTCAACTAAAAGCAGAGGTAGATGTTTGTGTTTTACACCTGTTTATATTTGTGGCTCATCCCAATGATGGAATTATTAATGTGGAAAAATGGTCAAAAGTCTGAATCGTAATTTTGCTTTATTGAGTTGTTGGATTTTAGCCCCAATCTCTGGGTCTCAGAATTAATTTTACAATGGTGTCAGCTTGATAATAAACTTACTTTTAGGTTTAAGGTTCAGTTTGCCAAATACTTTGTCACAGTATTTAAATCCTACAGAAAAGAAAAAAAAAAGAAAAAAACTCCAGGATGTAAACCCTTGTGTCAGCCTCTATTTAGTGTCCTTGAGCAAGACACTACGCAGGGCTCCTCAGCTGAGCTTCATGAGAGGTGAGGGTGACTCTCTAGAATTGAGATTAATTACCTGCACACTGGGTGGTTAACAGGGCACAGTAGTGCAGACTGTGCAGACGGCGGGCAGTTTATTGCGGACGCCCTATAGAAACTATTTTTTTCCCAGGTAACCTAGAGGTGAAAGCTAATATGCTGTTGACGCAGCTTTAAAAGATTGATCCATGAAAAGAGCCAATTTCACTTTATAGACGTCATTTCTTACAGTTGCTTCTGACAGAACTGTCAGGTGAAATAATGTGCACTAAATCTCATCAGTAACAAAAATATTGAGAGGCGATCATTCTGATGCTGTCACCATTAAAAACACAACAATGGAAATCCTTTGATGAACTTGGTGTAGTTTGAAGTATATCAGTGGGAAATCCTTTGATGAACTTGGTGTAGTTCAGTGGAATATATACAGTCAGACATATACAACAACAACAACATCTCCAAACTACAGTTGGTGTGTATTGTTTATAACATGTTCACTCCCTACTCCTCAGCACCAGCCTCAAAAGTCTGCTGTTAAATTGGCCAACCTTGGCCGTCTTTCCTGTCTTTCTGCTCATTTCCAATCCTGTCCATCGCTACAAAAGCCATTTAAAATCGGTCAACTAAAACAGTGCGGGATCATAAAGACACATGTCAGGCTGCTTAATCGACAGAAGGGTCAAAAGGTTAATAGATGCATTGGTTTTACAGGGTACATTGTGACTGTAGCCGTTTGCGAAGCAGAAAACCACGGCTAATTGCAGTGTAACCCGGCACCTCAGACAGACGGCATATACGAGCCAGTGAGCGAGGGAGCGAGGGAGCGAGCGAGCCCCACCCTTTCACAGCCACATCGCACTTCTGCTGACTGGATGTGAAAAACGTAGACAGACACGGTAGCAGGCAAGCTTAGAATAAAAACCACAGAAGTATATACTGCCAAAGCCCCATGTGTCGCAAACTCACACACACACACATATTGTGACTGTCTGATGCTACGGGTTTCTAAGAGCAGCCTTTAAATCATACCCTATATATTTTTTCTTGAGAGCACACACGCCAGTCGTTCAAGTTGTGAAACACAAAGACGAGGCCGAACACTGGGTCTTTTGTGCAGAGAAGTGAGAGTGGGTGTATTTTAGGGGCTGCACTCGTCTTTCAACACAATACTGCACGCACGTGTGTCCTTGACTGTTGCTTTATTCTTTTCTTCTGGCCTGAAGGGCAGGTGATATCAATAGAGAGAAGTGAGAAACACAAATAGAGCCGATGGGGCGGTATCAAATTGTCTTGGGGACTTATGAATGATGCCCCCATTGTTCTGAGTGTAAACACTCCTGTAGGTAGAGGGAATCTCACCGGGGCCTGTGGGGAATTGCTCTTCCAATACTCACAAGATGTTTCACTCTTGATTTATGGCCCTCCCTTCAGGGCATGGCATTCTATCTCCACCTCTCGTTACTATACAAACTTCACAACACAATTACAACAGCCATTGTTGTTGAGTGACTTTGTCAAACATATCCTGAGGCCATGTGTGGCCTAAAGTCTCACAAAAGAAAGAAAGAATCCAAACAAAAGGGCTGCAAGTGTTATGAATCGCACATATAAACAAAGGAGAGCATAGGCGCACACACACACACACACACACATATATATACTGTATATATATTCTTTTTTTTTCTAAACAAAAGTCATTTTGTTTTGAAGGTTCAGTTAGTGGAGTAAATCATAACATTCTACAACACTACCTTCCTTCTTTTTTTGTTTATAGCAGATTTTCAGTCTACAGTTGCATCACTGATACCAACCGGGTTTATTTTCCACATTTCCACCCAGGTATGTATTGGCCACTTGAACATATATTTAACAGAACTACAAAATACGGACACATGAAGTAACTCCTGGATACTCAGCCTTCAAACTGAGATGCT